TCTCTGATATTAAGGGAAGGGCATAAGCTGAGAATAATCGGAAACAGGATGCTGAGCAGAATATTTCGACCGAAAAGTGGCAAAATAACATGAGGTTATGAGAAAACTGCATAATGAGGAGCATCATAACTTGTATTCTTCGCCAAATATAATTCGAATGATCAAGTCGAGGAGGATAAGGGCATATAGCACGCATGGGGAGAAGAGGAATGCATCTAGGACACAGGTGAGAAAGCCAGAAAGGACGAGACAATTAGAAAGATCTGATTATGGTTAGAAGGATAATATTAGAATGGGTTTTAGAGAAATAGGATGGGATTAATCTGACTCAGGACAGAGACCAGAGGCAGGCTCTTGTGCGCACGGCAATGAACCTTAATGTTCCATAAAATATTGGGAAATTACTGAATAACTTAGGGACTGGCGGCTTCCCAAATAACCGAGTTCAATGGAGTTTAGTCGGTGAATTAGTTTCTTATATTTCAGTAACTTTATGGAGCATGGTCCTTAAGAAGTTAAGGGTTTGTTAACTGGTTACGAAATTTCCGGTTCTTTTTAAGGAACCCAAATATTTATTCTCGCGTCCACAAAAGCCCACCACTGGTCCCTATCCTCAGCCAATAAAATCCAATGCACATCGTCTAAGCTTCGCATGTGTTCCTTTTTGTAAGTACGTTTTATTATTAAACTTCTGAGTGTATTTAATTTTTCCCTCATACGTTCTACATGCCAACACATCCCATTCTCTTCTATTTAATTGCATGACAATATTATCATTATCCTGGCCGGGAGTGAGATGGAAAAAGGACGCTGAAATCCTCAAACCCCGTGACGCCATATTTACCCCCAATCCGACAAATATATACATACAGGGTGTTTCACGACTTTAGGGCATAACTGCAGGAGGTGATTTCCTAGGTCTTTGTGATCAAAAAAAGTTCATATAAACATGTGTCCGATTTTGGACGGTTACGGAGTTATGACCGTTTTTTCATTCCCGTACACGCCCTCGTGTGAACCGCGTCTGTCAGCTGTCGGGTCGCTATTTTTATCCAGCTACAGACAGAGCGTTCTCGTTATCTCGACACTTGAGATGTTCCTACCGCGCGGTGGGTTGGTATGTCCGGCGGGGTTCACAACCGAGCGGCAGCCTGTGTTGCGGCCGGCGGTGGCATTTTCGAAAATCAGCTTTAAGCACCAATAAATTCAAATTAAAGGTAATTTCACGAAGTTAACTTTACATTCATACTTTAAATGTATCATGTGTTATGCTGGTTTATTATTTTGTTCCGTTTATTGTCAGTAATCCTTACCTTATATTCTGAGTTTTAAACGGTCATAACTCCGTAACCGTCCAAAATCGGACACATGTTTATATGAACTTTTTTGATCACAAAAACCTAGGAAATCACCTCCTGCAGTTATGCCCCAAAGTCGTGAAACACCCTGTATAGGTGGAGAGCAAAAGGGACAAATTAGTGTTTTCCTAATAGCGCACGTCATACCAAGCTTTGTCATGGTAACCCGCTTGTTTTATTGCCAATTTTTAGCCCCAAAGAACATTTCTGCCTTCATTTCGGAAAGTTTAGCAGCACAGAACTTGGATTAGACCAGAAGGTTCTCCCATTAGTAGCGAGTCAGTAGCAATTATAACTGCGTTTGAGGCGATATACTATATACTCCGAGAAAAAAAAACACACAATTTGTTACCAAACGCTGAGGATAGAACATCCTAACCAGTGTCCTGCATAGGAACCGACTATTGATCTTCATTTCTTTCACGTGCATCGGAAGATCGCGGGTTCGAGTAGCCATGAGGTTATCGGATCTTATAATTGACCTAATCCTTCCAGCCGCAATATGGCCCTGGGGTCGACTCAACCTCTAGCACTTGCTATACCGACTGCGTTATCCTGACTCCTGAAATTTTTTGGTCCTGAAAGAAATATTTTTAGTGTTTAATCAGTTAAGCACAAGGTCAATTTTACCTTTTTAGCAATAAACATTCAATTTTTCCTATCCTGAATAATCTAAAGCGATCAATAGGAACAATCGTAAAAATATTGGAGCAAATTTTCGGCCTGGTCCTCCTTGGGAATAGTGACACATATGCGCCAATATTTTTAATGGGCTATTTCACGATGGTCTCACCAACGAGACTATTATATACTCCGTGATACGATGATTGATTGATTGATTGATTGATTGGAATTGTGTGAGAGGAAGCAGCCATGGTCCGAAATATTTCGACATTTCCTGAACGGGCTGTCAAAATCACGAAAAAGTCTCACTCAGTTTAGCCGGTCTCATTCCCGAGGCTTTTGCTGTGGACTCTCGGATACAATTCTAAATTGTCGCCGCTATGGTAACCTGTTTCGGTGTTTTGCTTTTAGCAATGTTAATGCAACTGGTTCTGATGTCATAACGTCATTATGTTCCATCAATTCCGGTACATAAATGCTTATAATCGTAACAAAGAGTAGCCTTAAAAAAGTAAAACCAACTGAGGTGTTGGCTGTTTGTTAAATACCTCAGATCTGGTCAAGAAATTTTCTGAATTTTGTCACGTGTATGAATTACTAGAGATGGGGTTTGGATTAATTGGATTTATTGGACACTTACAGATCGTAACCATCGCTAATTCACACCCTCCCACAGTTTTCTACAACACAAATCTTCTGTTTGTTTTCACTAGTCGTTTCCTGGCGAAGGATCCTAACAATGTCCTATCCTTACGTCCTTACGGGCTGGCGAATGTCTCACAGCTGACTAAACTCAGAGTCAGAGACAGAGTTACTTTACGACTGGTGGTTTACCGCCAATCAGTTGGTCTTGGCGAAAGGCCCGTTGGGATTGACGACGAGTAATTTTCTTTTTCCAACTGAACACTTGAGGGCATAGTTCTTATGTAACATCCTCTCTGACGAAAGGACGGGTCTCTCGTTTACAACTGCTGCTGGTCCTCGCCAGTGCAGTCATTCTCATGTCCGATTCCCGCGGTACTCATGACAATATTTTACCGTCTCAGATTCGATATTCCCACAACCTGAAGGGCCAGGTTCTCTTATTTATATCCCTCATGAACAGGGTGGCCCAGTTATACCCCCAGGCACTTGGCTCCCTTTTCGTCGCCTCCTACGGCTCCAACTGACTAAACACTATACGTGTCCGGCTTTCAACTCCTGGGAACGGACTGCATAGAAAATACCGTTCCTTTGTTGCTTTTCAATGTTATCCATGGAAACATGGTTGTTTTAGAAGCCGTTAGTCAGTATCGGCTTTTGTATATTTGCTTATCTTGCGGCCGTTGCCCAGCAACGTGTCCACATACTACAATATTAATCATATTCAATATGTGCTACTACAACCAAATTCTACTTAGTTTACAGTTTAGGTTTTCGGAACTAGGCCGCGTCCAATGTTGAGGGTTCTCCAACGCTTCGACAAATATTTCAGTTACCATCTTCAGGATTAATTACTTTAGGAGCTTTGGTAGCTCTCACAGAACTCTTGCATTAGGTAGTGTGTTAGATGTGACGCTGTGGTTGGATGGATAGACGAGCGGGATGCTGACCAATACGGGACGTCCGTGTGGTTAGTGAGCCGTGATTGCATGAACAGAGAGGAACGATGACCAATATGGAGCTTCCATGTGGTCAGTGAAGAGAGGTAACCGAACCACGGCTTCATTTCCAACAAACTGCTTAGCTGTAGAGCTACGTAACATCTACCAAACTTTTACCAATATCATTAACCCTGAAGAAGGAGGCTGATAATTCTGTCGAAACATTGGAAACCCCTCGACATTCGACTTGGCCTACTCCCGAAGACCGAAGCAACACATTAAATTCCAAAGGCGGAAACCCAGGGGCTCGATAACAAACTGAAGCTTAGAAAGTTCTAGTCTCCTAACCTCTTTATGCAAATGAAGAGAATGTTCATTTTGCGGGTAATGAGACTTGATGAAACTTTCAACTGGTTGCAGAGACACAAGTTAAAACCTGATAATCGTGTTCTTCGTGAAAGATGCATGAGCGAGAGGTGCTTTGTGAGAACATTCCCACACCTCTCCAATGGCTTATGTTCTGATAAATAATTCACGTGACAGGATTCACTTGTTTTCCATTCCATCGCCACAGGATACGCATCCATAATACCAACCTTACACTAAAACTGTTGGGGCGAGACAGGGTTCCTTGCAAACAATTTTGAAAGATACAAGATAGCCCCCCCCACCACGGTGTCCATGTGCATTGCCAGGGGGTATTTTAGGGGATGCAGCAAATTTTAAAAGGAGAGAGCAACAAGAAACTTTCCTCTGAAGAATAAAGTTTAAGCAATGTGTAAGAATTTTCTTTCTTGGTCGCTCCAGAGCAGTAGATGATGGTGCCCCATCGAGTTAACAAAAGTGTCAAAGTGACCCTTTGAAAGATGGGTGGGATACAGAGCATGCATGATAAGAAAAATGAGTTGTTAAAAAATATTAGTACGCAAACATGAAAAAAGGACATCAACTGAGATACACACTAATGGTAGGATAACATTAATCTAAAAAAAATGTAAAGTTGTCCCTGTTCTTAACTAATTAAGCACTACGCCATGAAGGTGTATGGGACAGAGGATTTTCTTGACCTCGGCACTACTGGAGGTGAGTGGCCAGATTCACTCCCAGGGATACAGCCGACGGTACCCATTAGATAGGACGTTGGGTGGACCCCAGATCCGGTTGGCTAGTTTATTGTTTGATTAATTAACAGATTAGTTAATTAGATAGTAATTTAGATAGTTAACTAGTTAGTAAATAGGTCAAATTTCTGGTTAGTTATTTTCCTGGGTGGCTAAGTGGTCTAATTAGCTGGCTTCTAAGTTAGATGTTTGATTACGTGCCTAGTCAGTTGGATATTAGGCTGAACACTTTAAGTAACTGTGACGTCACAGCTCGACGCTTGTTTTTATATGAGACAGCTCTAACGCAATGCACTCTCCGCCCTCTGTTCCAGCTGATCGGGCCCCAGTTCATACAAGCCATCCAGCCATCGCTGGAGGACCGTTGGACAGATGAACTGCATGAAGCCTGGGTACACCTCTTCAAGTACATGGCTTACGTCATGAAGACTTCCATGAGTGAAGAAGAACAGCGGGTTAATGCGCAACAATGAGGCTTGTGGATGAAGAAGTTACGAAGGTCCATTTCGAAACGGAAACCCTCGTTACAGGACATTGGCCAAAGCTCTCACAGTGAAGATCCTTTGGAGTGAACGCGGACAAACAGAGAGACAGACAATGCAAACTCCACAATGCAGGAAATAATGCGTTTTCCTTGGTCTTGACGAAATCACGTGGGTTCGAAGCAATTCTTACCGTCACTACACATTTCTCTAATGCACATTTAAGTATGAAGAGCAGGGATAATTCATTCGGTATAGCGACAGGATAAGGGTGGACGACTGGGGTTCAAACCCGGGTAGAGTCCAGACCGGCACTGGGGTCCACACAGCCTCTCAAGCCCTCTATCCCCAGGGGTAAAAGTGGCGTGACATGAAGGTAACAATTCACCTCCAACTCTTGTGGGGATACGTGATATAATTTTATGGCGTAGTGCTTAATTAGAAAGCACAGGAACAAGTTTTCAGTATAGCATCCAGCTACGGGTTGGACGGCCAAGAGGTCAGATGTCGAGTCCCGGTAGGGACTTAGAATTTTCACTTCTCCATGTCCACCCAACTCCCTATCCCATTCTTTCGACGTTATATAGCCTGGTCACTGACAGCACCGTAAAATAATGGGGAAAAAAATAAAACCAACTCCGTGGCCTGTAGTCCGCAAGCGAACTATACCGACCGAGCGACCGCCGCTTTGTCGGCGAAGTTAGTGCCAACTTTAGCGAAGAGAGGGTATCGCGTGGTCAGCGCAACGAATCCCCACGGCCGTTATTTCCGGTTTTCTAGACCGGAGCCGCTATTTCCTTCAAGTAGCTCCTCAATTTTTCTCACGGGGCTTACTGGACCGCGTTCCAGACCCATTACTTCTCAGAAAATCTGGTAGCGTCTGGAATAGAACCCGGGACCTCTGGGTGTGTAACCAGGAACTCTGATAACTAGACCACAGAGGCGGTCATTTCAATCCCCTTGAGTTGATTATTCTAACAATATTTTGCGAGTACAAATTGTTAATCTCCTCAAGACGAAATTTTCTCTACACTCCCATTACTCCTTCCCGCTAAGGTATAAGTATTCACATGAGTGTCCTTCCATCTATAGCTGGTCTCAAAATTGTCTGTTTTAGTAGGTTTACGATGAAATTCTTATATTCATGTCCAAATAGGCTTCAGAGAGTTACAATGTATCATTGCGTACAATTACGTAACCACCAAATAAAATACTGACTGGAAGTTAAGTTTTAATCCCCTCAAGAGCAGGCCACATCGCTCCACCCTCCGCGCAGCCATGTGATTAGTGCCTGATTCACAGTTTTCGTGTTGCGTGGTGCTTAGCAAAATCTAGAGAACAGAAGTGCATTGTCATTTGAGTGACATCATTGCTCCAAAACGTGTGACCAGCGGTGTGTACCTACCTAAGTTTTCAATACAAAAATACAGGCAAAATTAAAAAGTTAAAGCTACCCTTTTACTTAAACAATTAAGCACTATTCCATGAAGACATATGGGGGAGTGGAGGTATGACTCCATCATTCTTGACCTTGACACTAGTTGGAGGTGAGTGGTTAACTTCAAGTCCCGGCCGATTTACCCTCCGGAATGAATTGGAACCTAAGTATGTCCCAGAGCTGGTCTCGACGCTGTGGAGAAGAGAAATATATTTCCCTTCCCTGGGAATCGAACCCAAGCCGTCCAGCACGTAGCCCTTCGCTATACTGACAGCTATCGGAACTCCTACATAAACACAGGGGACTGAAAAAGAAATTGTGGGAGTGACATCTTTGTGAATGTAATTTTTGTAGTCAGAGTACATATTGTAACCAAGAACATATTGTCACGTGTTATCAGTGACTAAAGACGGGGTTTGGATTAGGTAATCCGATTTATTACCAACCTACAGGCCGTAACTACAAATAATTATTACACTATTGCTGATTTACACAATTTACAATCACGCCACTTTAATCTTCTCAGTATATCTCTACTAGCCTTCACTGTCCGTTTCCTGGCAAAAGATTTATAACGCAGGAAGTACAAAAGTCTCACTAAATTACACACTTCCAACATCGCTGTGCTACAGCACATGTAAAAAACACACTAAGTCTTCTAATTTTTCTTCTGATCACACTGCTGTTTCCTTGGACCTTCGGAACTCAAGTGAAGACAATTCTCATTCCTGTATTCTCTCATATCCTATCGGCACGGATCGCGTACAGAAAGCACAGCCCCTCTATTGTTGCATTGCGCAGATCACACAGAAAACACGTGTGACGTGTCAGACTGCGAGTTCGTTGGTACGTTACCAGTACTCGGTGTGGAGCGGATTACATAGAAAACACAGCCTCATCTATTGTTGCGTGTTGGACCGTGTTAACAGAGCTGTTGTCCGGCAACGCGTCGATCTAATACATTACAATATTATTTCATACAAGTCATCATCCAAAAAAAATGGATATTTGTTGTGTTTTTTAGCCTTCGATTGATTTCACGTGATGGATTTAAGTGCCCCTACAGATGGACATGAGAATGTTAATATACTGGGAAAACGCGATTCCACTAATTTGTAAAGACTTCCTCAGTAATAGAGGGTTGATCTGGTATTGCATGGAGCCGCAGTTGGGTGTTATTTAGTATCGAGGACAATCAGGAGGCAATGCTTCACAGTTTCTTCACAATGGATGTTCGTAAATGATCACATCCCATCACACAATTTGGAAATCTATAAGCCGCTGTCACGTTTCTATGTGCAAGTCTCTATGTGCATATGAAATCATGAATGAACAGACAAAATATTATTTTTAATATAGACGGTGTGTGTCAAAATGCAAAGTTAAGAATCCTACAGTTTGTAAAAAAGGTATAATTATATAAATATATTTTAAGTGTAAATAATATTATTAAAAATGTATATACATCTGCTATGGGAACGAGGTTGTATCGTGTTCAGTTAATGACGTACACCGTTACGTCATCATTAAAAGTTACTCGATTCTGTTTTCAACATATTCCCGGTATATATATACGCCATTGGTAACTCAAGATACTTTTTCCTGGGGAATTTTCTTCCGTAAGGTTGGCTACACAACATAAAACGTAACCTTGTTCGTAGAGTAGATGAATTTTAATATATTAACAATATAATAAGTCGATGTAAGGTTTTTAACTTACATTAGTGGAAAAGTACAAGTTTTGTTGAAAATTTGTTTCTTTATATGTATTGAAATGTATGTTCTACATAAATATTGTATTGAATTATGTACAGATCTGGTACAAGCACCACAGAAAAAAAAAAGGTGCTTCTTAAAGCCTGAAAGGTTGAAATTCAGGGTGTGCTTACGATTCATTACGCGAACGTGACCAGAAAGAATTGTTATGTATTGTTATGATAAAGAATGCTGCCGAAAATTTGACAAATTATGAACTTTTTAACCAATTTTAGATACATCCGAACAGTGTAAAGATTCTGTTCCTTACATTCGATTCTTATTGTTTAATTATATGCAAAACCGTAGGACTTATGGAGAAAATGTATTACACTATTCCTCCAAAAAATATTCAGCGGGTTGCTTTAGAAAGGGGGGCAGAAATGTATGTAGGTTTTCATGTAAACTCTGCGTTATTTCTGATCGATATCAACTAAATGTCCTCACACGAGTTGCACTGAAATAGAGCTATTACTTTCTTATCGGGTGTAAAGCAGCTGGGGCGTGAAGCTGACCACTCACCTCCGTACAGTGCCGAGATCAAGAAAATGTGGATCTATATATCCACTCCCCCATACGCCTCCATGACGTAGTGCTTAATTCGTTGAGCACAGGGGCAATTTTTTGTTTAGCTGTACCAACTTTGTTACTTGAACAATAAATACCGGTATTAGAAACAGCACATAATATCTCTTTCTTGTCAACAGTTTTGGAACTGTACAGTGAAATAACCATCTGGGAAGCCTTTCGGAATGGGACACATGTACATATACAATTTCGCTTAGAATGACCGATACTATGACCTCCCAGAATATTGTCCTTTGCTCCTGGGACACTCTCGTATACAGATGAATTTCCTGAACGGCTACTTCTATAGAACACAAAATTCATGTTCATGTTTGCAGGAGGGTCGCCAATGTATGTGTTCTTTGTTACACGATTGTATCTAAAATACAAAGGCATTCAATACCGGTCGATAGACAGCAAACGAATGACGGCTCATTTACAAGAAGAGGAGGCATAGCTCCAAGCTGCTTGTTGCCCACAGAGTCATCAGAAATTGTGTTGTCCTTTGACCAGATGTTTACATCCATCTTGAATTGCGACTAAACCGAACACAACATTTATAATAAGCAAAACAACCTGGAATTAAGGTAATATGTCCCTATGAAACATCAGTATTCTCTATCAGACTACAGGACGTCACATCCCAGAAGAGTACAATCTTAACAGTAGCCGCCAACATAAACCTCATTCAGAAATTAAGTTTTAGAGAGGAACCGGAAGACTGGTGGAAATTTTTACTTTCTCAGAGAACGTTAAAATTCCTTTATGATCCTGATAAGTACGCCGTCTCTGTGGTCTAGTGGCCAGAGTTCCTGGCTACAGATCCAGCGATCCGGGTTCCATTTCCGGTGCTACAAGATTTTCTAAGAAGTAGTGGGTCTGGAACGGGGTTCATTCAGCCTCGTGAGGATAATTGAGGAGGTATTTCAAGGAAATGGCGGCTCCGGTCTAGAAAACAGAAATTAACGGCCGTGGGGACTCCTTGCGCTGACCAAGTGACACCCTCTATCCGCTACAGTTGGTACTAACTTCGCCGACAAACGGCGGTCACTCGGTCGGTATAGTTCGCTTGTTTGTGTCACTCGGTCGGTATAGTTCGCTTGTTTGTTTGTTTTCCCTAAGAAGTAAGCATGGATAAAAGGTTCATAATTATAAGAGATAATTTATTTTTTAATGGTGTAAGAATTTATAGGAGTAACGAATATATATTATTGAAATGTCCTGTTTTGAGGATTCTGTAAAAGTTATCCCGAAATAGAACCCCTTGATGTGACCTAATTTGAAACTGCTTTTAATATACTGTTAGTATGTAGGTATAATAATTTTACAGCGCATTTGCACTCGTAACATTTTCATGTCGCCAAAATAAGCTGTCGAAATGTTGAAGAATATCTAAAATAGAACAAGTCCTCATGGGATTATCTGTATAAGGACAATAAATCCTTACATTGTCCTTAGGTTTTCGATGATGGCGTCTGATGTATAACTTCAGCCTAGAATGTTCAAGATTTTCCGATGTTTCGGCATAAGTTACACAGGTTCTGTCTTCCGAAATTTCGGACCTATTTCGTCACATTTCTTCATGACCACCCAGTGTCGAAAATAAAATAGTTCAATCATTTCTTTTCCTCGATTACGTGGTCACACTCGGACGGATAGCATTCCACGGTTCAGTTCTTGGATTCAGCCTTCACTTCTCACACACACGCTCTACTGCCAGATAAGTGTTTCCAAAAACCACAAGGATATTAACCCTGAAGACGGCAACTTCAACGTTTGCTAAGACGCTGGAAAAATTATAATATTCTAAGAAATATATTCCCGAAGACTTATATCACACATTAGCCCTTAAATTGAAGAAAACAGTCTTCCGGCATGTGGTACCGTGTAGATGTGGTGTTAAC